CTATTTAGAACACGGTGATTTAGCAGAAATAACTTCGAAAAACATCACCAAAATGGATTTTGTGCCATTAAAGAGCTGATGTCATCATTTGGCTTTATTAACCTTTAAATTGTGAAATCTTGTAACGAACAGACGCCTATTGCAAAAACCTGAAATACAGCTGAATGTCCTTGTGAAACTTTTGTTCAGTATTAGTTAATATGGAAAGACTTTTTTATCAGAACCTCACTAGAATGTCGGCATCTCACAGACTGCCAGATTACCTTTTACATTCGCTGTTTAAATAATAAAATCAACTTTCATAAAAAATCTATTTGACGTGAAGAGACACTTTTCAACACACCATAACCAAAATCTCTCAGCATTTCGTCAGTTTCATTTCTTACAACTCATGCCTTAATAGAGCCAACGATACGTGCATCCATTTCAATCACTTCAATTTTCTCTATGTATCCTCTGCTTGTGACTGTTATTATATTTTATAATATTATTGATTAAGAAATTAATTGAAAGCCTTGAAAATGCAGTTGATTATTTTGTATTCATTTTAACTACAGTCCAAATAATAGTAACAATTTTCTTATTTTCGTGCCTACAGAGGTGATGATATTCATCAGCGAACTCTTCTTGCGTTTGCAATTGTTACTCTGAATATCAAAACAACATGGAAGGCAAATATTTACAATACCTGTACTTCTTCGAACAAGTGTAATTAGACTAAATTGATGGGAAAAGTTTTTCTTGGAAATCGACAAATTGATATAGCCGTTATATTTCTTATATATTGCTTTATCAATTAAAAGTATTTTTAAATTTAATTACTCAAAACGAAACCATGTAAAATCGATGCAAATAAGTGCTTATTAAGTATAGAGGGTGGGAAATACGTAAGAGAGTTCTAAGAGCCGCTTGTTTATACTCGATGCCTGCGTATGATTTTCTATGAACCAGTAGTAGTTTGTCAACTCCCTTATTATCAACGAGTTCGCGATGAGAAACGAAAGTGATACCTAAATTAACCACGAAGAAGTTCTGATGAAAGGTTTGAAAGTCTCTTAGATTAAAGCTGATTTTACAATGTTTTATGCCTGATTTTAATTAATATCCATTGGGCCTTACCATTACTCAAAGTTGGGAATAAAACGTGGGGTTAAATTCTAAGTATGTAAGGGGAATGTTTGAGGATGACTTAACATCTGCTAAATACCGTTAGCATTTGAGATAATTGTCAACAAACGGGATTATGAGTAGAGTGCAGTAAGAGTTCGAAATGTGCAGATATTAAATTGTACATGGAGATAAAAAGAATATGAAAGTTCAATAACTGAATCTGCAAAAAGAGAAGTACTGGCATAATTTTTCAATTTTAAGCCGTCAACTTTCAAAACCGCATTATGCTAAATGTCATGACCTTTCTGGTTTATAAATACCCCAATTTTGATTGAGTGCACTCTATTCAAAATCAAGCAGACATCGAAGACAGTAACAATATTGTTTTTGGTCGTGTCTCTCCCTTAGGGTCAAATATGCTGGCATTAGTAAATTCCAAAAATGATATAATCGGCGATGGAAATACCTATGTAACTTACAGTCAATCAACTTTCAATTTTACACATTTAAATTTTAAATGGTTTCAGCACGTGGTTTTTAAAGACATTGAAATTTGACATCACTTCATAAACATTAGTTCATTTGACGCTTAAATAATATATCTATTCAAAAAAAGGATTCATAGATTATATGATTTGTTGCCCTTCGAATGGCATTGAATGTGACTTGGTGGAGGATGAAAGACAGGCATCTAAGCTCAAGAGGATGGTCACTACGGTCGATGGAATCTCCAGCTGACCCAAGTCTTAACATAGCAAAGAATCAATTTAGAACTTTGTTATAGACATTCGCAGTGAAACGGGTTTACTTGACTGAGATCTTATTGCAATATGAACGATTTTGATAAAGACGTACCACAACACTTTATGACAAACTTTCTGGAAGTGCAGCACTTGGTATATCTTTGCTAGCTAGATTTCGTCATTAACGCTTAAATGAGAGCAAAATTTGCTCTATTCGCACAATAATAATTTTGATTTAATGTCCTCGCAGTATTCAGCCACTTAGGTTATATGATTTATCCAAAATTAAGTGTTGAAAATCCAAATTGTTTGTTGTATGTGGCGCAATGTTTATTTTGTTGTCAAAAAGCGTTATGAAAGTGTCCCAATTAGCTCAAGTTTGTAATCTCAATTATTATGATACTGACTGAAAAGCTAATTCAAAGACTTAAAATAATTGTCGAAATTAAGTCCAAGCAAAGAGCTTCAAGAGACACCTGATAAAAACGAATAATACTTATGATATCAGTACGAAAAGTACCATAAATGAAGTGAACTGCAATCTTCTTAAACCCAAATTTTCCTTTGTAACTATGAATACGAAATTAATTTTTTTAGCTATTTTATCATTAACTAGTACTCATGCAGTTTTGCAAACATCAAAACAGTAGTGTGAAAAAGAAGTTGTTTTCATTGGTCAGTATTTATAACAAATTGGCTCCATTTGTTTTAATTCTTAATATTTATATTTCAATATTTTGTGGACTAGGGTAGGAAATGTAATGAGAATTTTGAGTTTTCTATTGATCGTAAATAATGCTAACAAATGAATTTCTTCACAATCAAATTCTGCTCGAAATATATAATTGTGGAAAAGTCGTGTGAATAACGATAATTTGTGAGGTAAGACATATCAACTATAGACGCTGTAAAAGAATTAACCATTACAAGCGAGTTAAAATATATTTTACTGCTTACAAAATTTTGCAAAGCATGAAGAAAAAGTGTTTAAATGACTTTTGTTGTAACACCTAATTGGCATTTATGACCATTAGTTAAACAAGGAATGCTGAAAGCATAATTAATAAGGATCTTCTTGATAAATATGATAAATTTAACTGGGAACTTAACAACAGACAAAAATTAGGCACAATCTTGATCATATCAGTGTCCATAAAGTTCCTGAATGTTCTTCTATGGAAACCTCCTGCATTTATCATTGTTACATTGACAGTTCAAGCCGCATGTAAAGCGCATGTTAAAAATACTAGCATGTTTCTAAGCAAACGCAAACAGTTTAAACAAGTGGTGTGACCCTATTCGAAATTATTTTGTACATCACCAACCTCACTCATTGCACATCCAGTGGTGATGATAGACATGACGATTACCAGCAGCACCATCGTCAAGGAAAAACTAAATATAATGCCTCCCTCTAAACTTGCTATGCACTCATCTGCTTGTTTTTTAAAGTTTTTGTATCGGTAATAAAATTGAATGATTCATTAAAATGGAGCGATTGGTATTAAGTGTAGAATTTAATTGAGATACGATAATATGGATCATACAAAATCTATTTGGATTTGTCAATTTCATAAAGAAACTGCTTACCACAATTCGAATATATTTTCGCCTGTGTGAAAATACACAGGCATTATAACTATCCAATTTTCATACTGATTGATTTTAAAAGCGACTATTGTAAATACACGAAGTGTTCATAGATGAACATGGTGGAATTTTATGGGCGTTAAAAATTGCAAGCAATAGACCGATTTTATCGTTAAAAAATGATGATAAAGCGAACAATTGTATCTTAAAATTTGTAATATTTGTCAAATAATCTCACAAATGTTTACAATTTTGGCCGTTTATCCTTTGCAAATGCCATAAGTGTCAAAGATGGCGTTATACTAATTCCTATTTGAACATTATGGGCTATATTACTTTGAAAAATGAAGTGTTAATATTGTATTGGAGGGCATTCGCAATTGAATTATAATCTGATTAATGATTAAGGTTTGTCGTGTGCGATAGACTTACCTCCACGTGGTGCACCCTGGGCAACGTATACTCATACGGCAAACAAGTCTTTTAACTGGCAGTTGACTTCTGGCTTCAAACTACATTGACCATACTGTATATCATATTCGACCTCTTCCACAGTGCTCATCTAGCCTTTTCTCTGCCTTTGGGTCTGTCTGCCTTTTACATCTGTAAATCGCTCTTCTTTTTCTAGTGGGATTTTTCTCTCTTTAATGTTCCTTCCTCCTGTGAAGCTCGAATTCAACTAAAGGGCTGTTGATAACAATCAAAATGCCTGCCATTTAAAATAAATAAATTTTTTAATTAATAAATGATTAAGATCTAGATACTGTCTGAGCTTCTAGAATGACATTAATCAGCGTTTAGTTGTGCAAAGGAATAATGTTTTTTTCAAATCTGTTCAAATAATTTACTGTTAACATTTTGGCACATAGGGCATATTCCGAAGGTTTCCTCTTCACCTCAGGGTGGAAAGGACGTCAGAATGTGCTCCAATTTGGAACAAGTTGTCTACAACTAATTTGACTATAACCATGACGGTCAATCTGGAACTAGTACATGAAGTTGTCTCTTAGAGATAACAGGAGCTTAAAAATGGGCCGATGTAATTGAATATTATAATATCATGTGAAATATCAATAGGATATTTCTAAAGATGACTCAATATTTTGATTATACTGGTTTTCCATACTTGCTTGTGCGGTGACATTTCAAATCTAATCTGTACTATCAAGCTATTTTCATCGCGGTCAATCTCTCACACACTTTACACCTCACTAATCGAGTTATGATCAACATTGACTACCTCGAATGAATATATTGCTTTCAGAAAAACAAAATTTTTGCGTCACTGATTGTCAAAAGCTGTGCATGCTAAAGCAGCAAATAGCCAAAATGCTGCTTTATCTCGCTAGTGCCTTTTTTAAGAGCTCATATGTATCTTAAGATGTTGGTTGTTATTGGGCACCAATGTTTTTGAAACGAATCATTGTGCATAAATTTACCATTGGATTGAAATACAGCATATAAGGCACTTTGCACACGTTCTCAGGCGTTTGAGTTGCCAAAATGCTAAAAATAATCACCCTTTTGGTCTATGTCTATCCCATCTGGTCTTATATGATGACTGAGAAACTTCGTACAGAAGTCGAAGTCGATCATAACGCTGTTCGTAGTAAAGTCTCACCTTCAGCGTCAAATATGTTGGACATGGTAATTTAAAAATTCTCTTACATTATGCTTGCATTTACCAACTAATAATTTCACTCCCATCTCCAGAAATACAGTGAATCTTTGGAAACCTAGGCTGATACAACTGCTAAGACATGAAAAAATGGTACAATTCAGGGTCGAAATACCTATGTCACCTACGACACCCAAATTGTTAACTTTCCAAATGTTATCTATAAATGGTTTCAGACTGTTGCTCATTACGACTTCGAACTTAACGCATGTACTAACAGTCAATCTTGCCATCACTTCATGAACGTAAGTTGTTACAAAGCATAATTATATTTCTAATCAAAAATGTAAAAATGATTTCTGAATTAGATGATTTGGGCACCTTCCTATGAAGTTGGATGTGCATATCATCTACCTAATGATCATTTCCTAAATTTGCAGCCTCCTGTATATTTGTATGTTTGCGAGTATCAAATTGCGTAAGTTTTTCCCAGAATAGACCAATATCAAATGAAAGTTAATATAATAAAATATTAAAAACATCTACACCTTTTCATATAAACGCCGATCTCGAGGCATGTGCACCGTATGAAAATGGTACAAGTTGCAGTAAATGCCCAACAGGAACACATTGCGAGGACAAATTGTGGCACCCTGGTTCTGGCAACTAGACAGAAAGTGCAAAGCTGTCAATGAATGAACCGATGACACTTACATGTTACTTTCAAATTAAATAATTCAATAGAATTAATTTTATTTATTTGTTTCATTCATTATGCGCATCCGATATTATTGTTTTATCAGTGATTGGGTTACCTATATGTTTATTTTTCGAGATTCATGTTATATATATATATATATATATATATATATATTTCGAANTTCGTAACATTTACTTCGAAATATATATATATATATATATATATATATATAAATTTCGAAGTAAATGTTACGAATGCAGAAGTGTTCACAAATGAATATGCTCAATTTCAATTGACATTGAAAAGAGCAAGTTATTGACCGATTATGGCCTGTTGTTAAATGTTATTAGAGCGCTCAGTTTCTCTATTTAAATCAATATATTTTTTAAATATTTATTCAAATATTTTAATAGCCCCACATAAATCACATGTTGCACATTCTTTGCTTGGTAGGCGGTTGTAAATGTCAAAGGTATATTAATAATATTTCTCTTTTTTACGTTGTGGTGGTCTTTTCTGCAAATATGAAGTGGTTATACTGGAACCGAATTTATGATGTTGTGACAAGCTGTGTAAAGGAAGGTGGTCTCAATATTGAAACTGCCAAAAGATATTGTATTGAATAGCATTCATTAGTGCCTTAATTTTGAAGGGTATAGGTTTATAATTTTTACTTTTTGTAGAATTTAGAGCCCAGTAAGTGACAAATTGTTAAAATGAAAGATTAATCACTCAATATCACGCCTTGTAGCAATTGTCGATAAAAATAGCCCTAGTTCAAATGAGGTCGAATCTTTCCTTGTACATATAGATGAAGATTGAAATGATTGAGTGGTGTATTCATAATTGAATCATTTTACTTATGTAAAAAATCTTATTCCACCATTTCCAGCAATTCAGCCTAATCAGACCATAGAAAATGATAATGATAATGTTCAGTATTAACACCTCTAGCATTTACTATGCAATTATGTCAATAAAAGCATCATGAAAGCAGATATTCAAATCACCGGTATATATGAAAGTAAACACAATTAGATTAAACTTGCGGTACAGACCAAATCGTGATTAAATTGCGCATCACTATCTTCATTCGTCACAATTACGTTGGTGATGATATATATGACGAACACAAACATTATCATCACCTCAATGGATGTCTTGTACAATTCACTTGGCTAATTCCCACCATTTAAACCTACTAAGCTCTCAATTGCATCAAGATTTAATAACTTAATTTATCAGTGATGGAACTAAATGATTCATTCAAAGGAAGTAATTAGTATTATGTACTGAAACCTAATTGATATACAATAATATTGGGCATATAAAACTATTAGGATTTGTCAATTTGGTAAGGAAACTGCTTACCCTCTTTAAATATAATAACGCTTGTTCAAAAATCCACATTACTTATAAATATATGATTTCCATTATGATTAAATTTAAAAGTTGAAAATTTCAAATTTACAATGTGTTCATAGATGAGCATCGTCGATCTTTATGATTTATGTTTTATGATTTTAAAAAAAATGCGTTTAAACGATCAACCGTTTCTTCAAATTCATTATATTTATCGAATAGATATAAAAGATATGCGTTTTAGACATTTGTTGCACATTTGGTGCACCCTTGGGCAACGTGTACTCATACGGCAAAAAATGTCTATAAATCGACTGTTGACTTCTGACTTCAAAATTACATAGCCCCACTGTATGCCATATTCGACTTGTTTAACAGAGTTCACCTCACCTTTTTTCTACCTTTGTGTCTGTCTGTCTGTCTCATTTACATTTTTGAAACGCTCTTCTGTTCGCGCACTCCCCCTCACAACATGTTTTATTTTGATATTCCTTCCTCGATGTCTGATGCCTGATGTCAACTAAAGGGTTAATGATAACTATCAAAAGGCCTGCCATTTGATATAAATAGATATTGTCAATAGTATTGTTATATAGGTTTGCCTTTGAACAATGCGAGCAATTTTGTCTTTAAAAATGTAGTGTTAATATTGTATTAAAGGAAATTTAAAATGAACCCATTTGCCAATCCATGATAAAATTTTTTCCTTTATCCTTGTAGATGCTTCATGAAATTGCATGAATATATTATTAATTGTTCAAAGCAATAATCTTTTAGAAGACCGTTGAAATAATTTACGGCTAACATACCCGTAAATATGATCAATCCTATTGATTACCTACTCACTGCCGAATAAGAAATGCAATATTATGCCTTAACTGTCTAAAAAATATTCGTCAGATTGGGGTTCAATTGGGTCAATTCGTCAATGACAATCTGATTATTATCTTAACAATCAATCTGGACCAAGTAAATTTCAAATGCCAGCCCTAATTAAATTTACCTCAATCACTCAGGGACGAAGTAACTGAAGTTTGTAATATCGTGTAACATTGCAATAATAAATTTCTAAAGATGACTAAGATAGTTGATTGGACTGGCATTTCGCGATTGCTTGTGCAGTGGCATTTCGAAACTAATCCTCACTTTCAAGATATTCTCACTGTAGTAAACACTCTCACACTTTGCAGCCCACATTTGGAACAATGATAACCATCACTGCCTACCTCGAATGAATAAAATGCCTTCAGTAAAACTATCGTTTTTCTGTCAAAATACTTGCATGCTAAAGCAGTGAATCTTTCAACATGCTACTTTATCTCACTTTTGCCACTTTTAATTGCTCAAATGTATCTTAAAACGCTGGTTGTCAATCGGTATTAATGTCTTGTGCTTTTTTGTAACGAATCATTGTGCTGAAATTTACCATTGAATTGAAACACACCATATAAGGGACTTCGCACTCGTTCTCAGGCGCTTGAGTTGCCAAAATGCTAAAAATAATCACCCTATTGGTCTATGTCTACCCCATCAACTCTAAAATTTGTAGACAAGTATTATACAGAAATCGTATTTACTCATAATGCTGTTCGTAGTAAAGTCTCACCTTAAGCGTCAAATATGATGGCCATGGTAATTTACAAATTCTCACACATTATGCATGCATTTACAAGCTAATAATTTCACCCCCATCTGCAGAAATACAGTACATCTTTGGAAGCCTTGGCCGAGACAACTGCAAAGGCATGTAAAGATGAAACAATTTACGGTCGAAATACTTATGTCACCTTCGAGACCCCAATTGTCAATTTTTCAAATGTTATCATTAAATGGTTCCAGAGCGTAGAAAATTACAACACCGATTTTAACGCTTGTAACGAGGGTCAAATTTGCCAATACTTCATGATCGTGAGTTAGTTTGACGCCTAATTATAGTTTCTATTCAAAGATACATAAATAATATCTGATTGAGATGATTTGGGCACCTACCTACGAAGTTGGGTGTGCATATGAAAAATGTGATGAACATTTTCCAAATCTGCAGCCTCCTGTATATCTGTATGTTTGTGAGTATCAAATCCCGTAAGTTTCCATCAAATAATTCAATGCCAAATAAAAATAATTTCCCTATAATTTTGAAACTATAAACCTTGCAATTTTAGCGCCGATCTCGAGGCATGTGCATCGTATAAAAATGGTGTGAGTTGCAGTAACTGTCCAACAGGTACCCAATGCAATGACAAATTGTGCTTTTCTTAGAACTAGACAGAACAAAGTGCAGAACTGTGAATGAATAAGCCGATAACACTTATATGTTACTTTAAAATTAATTTTTTTAATAGAATCGACTTTATTCGTTTGTTTCTTTCCTTATGCAATTCCGTTATTATTGTTATTTCAGCGATTACTTTAATTCTATGGTTTTTTAAAGTTTTATGATGAACTAATGCAAATTGTTTATATAAATATATAAATATATATATATATATATATATATATATATATAATATACGGAATAAAGAGTTTACTAAGAAATATAGATTCAGGTAGTCGGAGATAGCTCTTTAAACGCAATTGGCATTACATTTAATCTTAAATTGTTGTGCTCTTTTAAAACGTTGTCTTCTCTCTGCGAAGGCGAGAAAAATCAGTGTTTAATAAGAGAATAGAACTAAGTTATTGATATTAATCCTGGCTTTTAAGTTATTAACTTGTTAACTAGTAATTGGGAATTTCCAAATTGTTATTAAAACAAGAATTTGCATGGGTGCTCGTCTATCTATTAGAACATTAATTTCATAGAAGTGAGGAGGGGGGAATAGAAGAGTTTTTAATAGATGCAAAGTAGACAGGGATAAAGTTAGTGAAAAAAAGCATGGCGGGTACTCTGGAAGTGAACATATGTGACAGAGCTTGGGGCGACAGTATTCTGAAGTCAACTGCGGGGTTATAGACCTTTTTGCCGTATGGGAATATGTTGCCCAATGTGCACTACTTGGAGAAGTTAAGTTTACCTCACACCGGGTAAACAACTGGAGGGCGTGAAATTGAGAAAAAAAGTCATAATGAAAATGAAATTCTAATGCGAATTTGAGCAACGCTCATTCTCATCTTCTTGTTTTAAACCAATTGGGTTGTTTCCTTCTCTACAGATTTATGTATATCTATATACATAAGCATTGAATAAAAAGGCATTTTCACTATAATAAAAACAATGATAACCATAATAAATTTGTCGTAAATTTAAATAAAACGGAAGAAGGAACTATTTTCCGTTATAATATTTAGTTGAGCATTATCCAACCAAATCGCACACTGATTCCACCTCTTACCATTGTAGTGCCGTCAATGTGCACAGGATATTCGAACTAATCAGGCGCAGGTAACAATATATTTTATCACTAACCATTACACTTCTTCGACAAGTTGTGCCTGTTCTAAAGCTGCAGTCATCCGAGCGAAAACAAATGGAGTTGATATTTGAATAAAACTAATCTAATTTGGGTTAGATTCAAATCAAACTCGTTGCTTAGAGGAACTTTTCTGCTCAACCTACATGTTATTGCTTATTTGTGGTCAATTTTCATCCGATTGGACAAAATTACAGGATAAGGAAAATTCTAATGTATAGCAGTGGTAGCTTGACTCAATTAGTAGTCGATTTACACTGCAATTTCAATCACGACCTATACGCCCATAAAATAAATCGAGTTCATTTAATTTTGAGTTGCTCTGAATAAAAATCGATCCAGAAAGTAGCATTGAGTGAATTATATTTCTAAATAGCTATTCACTGCCTAATCGCATTTGACAGCATTATAAACTTTGCAAAAATCTATAATCTAACGCATATTTGAAGAAAAATGAAAGCACAGCTTAATGCCAATCAGTGTCATTTGTTACAGCAGATACAAAAGCAACAGCTAGCCAACCATCCGTAATCTTAATTCATAATACTACAAATCAGCTCTGCTCCAATATCACCACTCATTTTCACCTCAGAGTTCAAATGAGAACTACCATGACAAAATTTTGGCATTTCTGACTAACAGCCAAATTGAGAATTCAAAACAATTAATATATTTAAAACAATGGGACAAATATAATGAATCTGAATTGAAAATAGATCGCTTAAACTTGATTCAGGCTAAAATCAGAGGATGATTTTTTTTGTTTCAGCTCACTACAAAGATCGATTATATTTATCTGAGAACTCTTTATTCATTCGTAATTATTTGCAATTCCTGCGTATTTTAAATCAACCGCAATTAGATTAAGATGTTGGGAAACAGATTTTTTGGAAATTTATAAATTTATATGGCCTTTGTAGGCCACCTAATATGTTTTCTCCATTTTATTCCGATACCTAATACCAATTCATTCACTAAAATAAAATTTCAATTTCATAACTAATGCAATGAAATTTAAGCGAGTAAGTGCATTTGCCAAACATTTCTGCTTGATGCCTTGTCTCATCGAGCACACCAATCAATATTTGCAAAATATCATTTGCAACTTTGGGCTACTTCAACGAATCTCGACTAATTAGCATTTAAAACCATTTCTCCATGCAACATTTATTCAATTCTTGCCTATACTTCGTTCTTAGCAATAACCCCACCACCACCCCGACGCCCTGCACTTCTATTTGGCTTTGATTAGGCAGGTATCAGCTTCCATAGACTTCCATTTACTTTTGAATAAAAATTTGTTATGCGTTTCTCGTTCTACAAAGGTTAGATTTAAAGCAGATAGATAAACGGATATTGTGATATCCGCATTGATTATTCCAAAAAAATGACAATTTGTGTTCCAGCTTCAATACCAAACGAATACCATTAAGCCACATATCATTGAGGATGACAACCATACGACTATGATTGATTGAAATCCAGCTTCAATATAAAACGAATAACATTAAACTACTCTTCATTGAGGAAAACAAACATACGACTATCTGTATCTCTGATTGAGAGAAATTCAAGTTCTAATAGGGAAACAGCGTCTCTTTTGATGAAAATAAAAGGGATCATAATCGGACATGGTAAATAGTTAATTGAAATTCATCTAAAATACTATTTATTTGTAAGTAATTTAGGACATTCACTTTCCAAGTTGAGAAGAGCGGAGCGAAATTATATCCATATGCTTGAAACAGATTGAATGACTTTTTCGTTTTTTTTCAAATTTTTAAAACATATACCTTTTACAGGCATTCAACTTAGTTCTTCATTGTGGGGTACGCGATAGACTTTCCTCCACGTGGTGCACCCTGGACAACGTATTTTCTTACGGCAAAAAAGTCTATCACTCGGCATTCGTTTTTGACTTCGATTAATTATGATTAGCTTTAAAAAAAGGCTATAAGAAAATTACCCTCGTCAGGGCGACTCACAACGTCTTCAGATCCTCCAGTGGAATGCTGGAGGAATGTCTCCGGTCAAAAAAATCCAAGTACAGAAAATCCTACAAACCTATGTTGTAGACATTTTCACAATTATGGAAGCTAACATTTCGGATGACAAACTGAAGAACTACCAATTCTCGGGTTACACCCTGTACAATCTAGCTAAATACCGGCAAGTTGCAAGTGGAATTCTAACCGGAGTCAAAGAAGGCCTCACCTCACACTACGATCTAATCAAGAATATGGGCTCGACACAAACAAATGTGAAATAATCAAATTAAATGTTTGGAAATGTCAAAACCACTTCAAGATATATGCAGTCTATAATCCACCCCAAAATTGTCCAAACTTTGACTTTCTGAACATCTCACACAAAACCATAGTACTAGGAGACTTCAACGCCCATTCCACCAGATGGGGATAAAAGGATACAAACATAGCTGGAAAGGAAATTGAAGACATGCTATACAGCAACCCTCTGGAACTTATTTACGGCAATGAGGATCCGGCTACATATTTGCACTACAATGGATCCAGAACAACTCCTGATTTACTCTTGGCTTCAAGCGACATCAGTGAGCATACACACCGCAAAATAATTGACGATCCTGGTTCTGGTCACAAACCAGTCATTGCTCGTATCACCTTCGCCAGCAAAAGCATGACAAGGAAAGTGCCAACTAAGCTATCATGGAACTTCAAGTAGGCTGACTGGCCTAGATTCACNGAATATTATGATCAGATGTGCAAAGAAAACTATTCCCCGAGGCAAAACTAAACACTATCGAGTGTTTCGGTCTAAACACCTTGAGGAACTGAAAAGAAACCGGGACGCCCTTCGCAACACTGCTGATCAGACTGGAAGAACGGAAGACGTAAAAGCCTGGAGACGACAATCAGCTGTCCTAAGACAAGCCATCTTACAAGCAAAACGGACTTTCTTCGACAAGTTCATCTCAAATATCCACTATCAAAGTGATAGCCGACGCACTTTCAAATTTCTGAGAAACCTGCAAAAAAACAGAGAAAGACCCAATAAAGAACCAATACGCTTAAACTGCAAATTGCTTTCCACCGACACCGAAATAGGGAACTATTTTGCGAGGTTCTATTCCCACAAGCAAAAGAAAAACGGTTTTGTCAGAAAATCCTCAAGAGTTTTAAAGATACAAGTAAGACAGTATGGTGAAATTAAGGAAGACACAACACCAAATGTTGTACTTACTGAACCATTCCAACCTTGCGAACTTAATGCTGCAATAAAATGTCTAAAGTGCAAGAAGTCTCCTGGCGAAGACGGTATTCATCCAGAATTTCTAATTAGAACGGGACCAAAAGCCAAGGAAACCATGCTGACGCTTTACAACAAAATCTGGGAGACCAGTCTTGTACCTAACCATTGGAAAGTTGCCATAGTAATACCAATACTAAAAAGGTCAAAGAACCTAGCAACTTTGACAACAGTAGGCCTATCTCCCTCACAAGCGTGCTGGCTAAACTTATGGAAAGAATGGTTCACAGGAGGCTCACCTGGTTCCTTGAGACTAACAATATTCTTAGGAGTGAACAAGCAGGTTTTAGGCCACAAAGATCAACGAACCAACAAGTAACCACTTTCTCCCAACACATCAAAGATGCCCTTGATGCAAGAAATACACTTACGGCTGTTGTCGTCGATTTCAAATCAGCATATGACTTAGTATGGAAAGAGAAGCTAATTCTAAAATTGGCAAAGATTGGTATTAAGCGTAACGTGCTAAACTGGATAAAAGCATTCATTACACAAAGATCATGTAAAGTCAGATATGGAAATGCTCTATCAAAATCCAATCTTTTACAAACAGGCCTTCCACAGAGAGCTGTCACAAGCTGCACTCTTTTCAATGTCTTCATCAATGACATAGCCGAATTGGTACAGACAGTCACGGGCGTTAAGTGCTTACTTTATGCAGATGATCTTGTTCTAGGAAAATCCGCCCCTAAGAAAAACGCTCAGAGTTAATGAGCTTACAACTTGATTCGAATTATTATTTTCACCCGCCTTAGACTGCGGTGGGCATTCTGTTTTACCAATATCAAAACAGTAAAGTGATAATAATGTATTTCCATTTTTCGGTTACCTTAAGAAATTGACTCCATTTTTGTACAGCATCGCCATATTTATATTTTGTGAAAAGTGATTGGTGATTTTAGAATATGTTCGAGAATTAACTCTTTCCTAAAATGAATTTTCCATTTATCTTAGATAAAACAAAAAAAGGAATGAACATTTCAATCAAATTCCGGTCTGAAGAAATTATAGCAGAACACCTCGTACAAACTACGAGATTTAGTGTGGTTCTTCATATATCCTATCGGCACTGCAAATGAACCATCTATTCAAAGTGAGTGCAAATATTTTACCATTTAGATAATTTAGCACTGGTTATATCCTTTATATAAAGAAACCTATTTAATAAAGGTGTACGATAGACTCACCTCCACGTGGTGGACTCTGGGCGACGTAAACTGTTTCCGCAAAAATTCTATTAATCGGCAGTTGACGTCTGACTTCAAACAACCTTCACCCAACTCTATGTCATATTCAACCACTTCTACTGTACCCATCTTACCTTTTCTCTGCTTTTGCGTCCGTCTGCCCCCCCCCCCCTCTATACTTTGACGATCTTCCTCCTCTCTTTGAAGCCCGTAGTCAGAAAAAGGCCCAATGATAAATTTCAAAATGCCTGCCATTTGAAATAAATAAATATTTGCACCCAAGCACAATTAGATTAAAATTGTGGTAATGACCTTCTCATCATGGCGAGCACCAGCTTCATCATTACCAAACATAAATAGGTATCGTATAATTCAGCTGGCTGTTTCTTACTCCCTATAATTGCTATGCTCTGGTTTGAATAAATTTTCAAGATTAATTTTATTAGTCATTAGATTAAATGACTCATTTAAACGGTGAAGTTGATATTAATAGACAAAATTCAATTATGAAACCATAATATATGGCACATAATAGCTATTTGTATTTGTAAGTTCCCTAAAAAAACCGATTACCATATTTCTAATCTTAGTGAGCTTATTGGAACATTGTAAAAATTCGCTTTTCATTTGAAATTTTAAGAAGTACGAGTCGTTTCCTGATTTTCGCCAGTTGAAAATGACTTATAATTTATTTCTCCAATTTCGTTGTGTTTGTCAAATGTCCCCTCAAAATTCATGCTTTGGGCATTTATTGCTTAGCAAATAGTCGTACATGTCAAAAGTGGCATCATCTTCATTCTCATTTCAACAATGTGTTCATTTTGTATTAGGACAATTTGCAAATGAATTATAATCTGACGAAAGATTAAGTTCTTGCTATTTTCTTTGCAATTGCTTCAAAATAGATATCAATCGGAAATCAATTGTACAAATAAATCGTTTTTCCATGTCCACTCAAATAATGTACTGCTGACATACTCACACATTGGACAATTCCCAAGGGTTCCTCCTCACTATGCAATAGGGCAGGTGATAGAATGTTTTAACTGACCGAAATATTTATGTCAAAATGTGCGTCGATTTGGGACATTTGCATTTTTCCAATTTGATTATAACAGCATAAGTCAGTTTTGAACGATGTAATGTAAAGCGCCAGACCTGAACTTGCAAGCGTAGAAGAATTTCCACTTAAATCCTTACTAATAACCCATTCCAACAGCAGCCAATCACTCTTACACTGTAAACCACTCAAAGTATTTAAAATTTTTCACAATTGGCACTTTCGTTATCTACCTATAATGAATTAAAACGTGTTGGAAAATTAACATTCTTTCTGTTAACGTTTGCCAAAATACTAGCATGTTAAAGCAGTGGATCATCTAACATGCTGCTTTATTTCTTCATTGCTTATTGACAGTGCTCCTTTGTTTCTTAAAAAGCAGGTTGCCTTGAGGTAACAATGAGTAGTGTGAGGAGAAAATCATTTTAAAGAAATGTATCATTGGATTGAACTGCAGCATACAAGAGACTTCGCGCGCGTTCTCAAGCATTTAAGTTGAACCATGGTAAAAATAATCATACTTTTGGTTTATTTCTATCCAATCTACACTCGTGCACTGAATAAAAAGTGTCGTGCAGAAATCAAAATCACTCACAATGCTGTTCGTAGTGGTGTTTCTCTCTTAGCGTCAAATATGCTGGATTGGTAGGTTACAAATGATTATATATTTTAATGCATTTTTCACTAATACATACACTCCCTGTTTGCAGAAATACGATGAAAATTTAGAAGAATTGGCTGAGAAAATTGCTTAGACATACAAAAATAATACAATTGACGGCCGAAATACTTATGTCACTTACGAGTTCAATACTGGCAATCTTTAAAATGTCATCAATAAATGGTTCCAGAGAGTAGAACATTACGACTTCGAACTTAACGCTTATGGAGACGGTCAATTTTGCCATCATTTCATGAACGTTAGTTAGTTTGACACTTTATTGCATTTCATCCTCAAAAATGTGTAAAATATGATTTAGATGATTTGGGCTTCTTCGAACGGTGTTGACTGTGCGTACAGGCAATTTGATCCATATTTAAGCATTTAAAGCCGCCTGTATACATGTATGTTTGTGATTGTCAAACTCCATAAGTTTTTTTCAAAAAAAATAGTACAATGACAAATGAAAGTTTATTTAAAAAAAAATTAAACTATTAACCTTTCCATTTAAGCTCCGATCTTGAGGCATGTGCATCGTATGAAAATGGTGCGAGTTGCAGTAACTGTCCAACAGGAACTAGATGCAATGGCACATTGAGCTATCCTGACAACTTGGCAGGAGAAAGTGCAGAACTGTCAATGAATGAACAAATGACACTTATATGTTAATTTATAATTAAACAATTTAATAGAATTGATTTTATTAGTTTGTTTCATTTATTATGCACTTCCGATTTATTGCTTTATCAACGAAAGCTTTATTTTTATGATTAATTTTAGAGATTTATGTTGAATTAATGCAAATTCCCTAAATATATCTAATGTAAAATGTATAAATAAATGAAAAATATCTATTGAAATTGTGTCACTTTATTGCTTGAAATCATGCACAGGTTATTCTAGAACATAAAACGCAGGCGAACTTACATATGTGGGACACGTTATCGCTTTGAGCGTCATCGCATGTCTGCACGCCAGGATTGGGAGGTGCGGCTGTTCAACTTTGTCTACAGCGACCGTACAAATAGTGAACGATCAGTCGACTCCGTTTGTTTAACCTTATCCACCATCCT